CTGGCTATGAGAGTCAGCTGTGTCTGCAGTGGGAGAGCTTCTGTGCTGGATCTCTAGGGTGGTGCTAATCTAGCGTTTGCCTGAGGCTATCCGGCAAATGGCTCTGTGCAGGGCTTGGGCGGCGCGGGTCCCAAGGGATCTGAGTATTTCACTTCAGCACTGCGCCTCCTCTGAGTCTGGGTATGATATTCTCTTTCCTTCTAGTTGTAGAATTTCCACTCAGCCAGCCTCCCTGTGGTTCTGGATGATGTCTATTCCGTCTTTTAGGTGTAATTTGAATTGGTTGTTTGAGGCAGCAATCTCTGGCGTTAACCTATGCCGCCCTCTTGGTTTCTCTCAGATGTCTTTAGTTTTAAAGTTAGAAAAAGCCTTTTGGTTTTCAGAGCTATTTGAATTTTGGTAAGGGGCTGTGGGTCTGTACATGTACAAATACAAACAAAAAGCCTTTCTGATGGCTTTTCCAGTTCAAAGAGACCCACAATGTTGAGTACTTGAATGGTACAACCTGTAGCTGAAGAAACTTTCACGCATGAATTCAAGAATAAGCCGAAATTCTTACACTGCAGTTACCATTACCGAGAGGAATGTGCTCCCTCTGCTACAGGGGCTTTCCGCTTCCTTTCAGAGCCAACGCAGCACAGAGCCCACTCTCATCAGCATCAGTGGACAGTCTGGCAGGGATTCTCAGCCAAAAGGGCTTGTCCCTTGAGGACAGATGATTCTGACATGCTTGTAAATTAAGAGTCTTTGGTTTCCTCCCCAATAAAAAGACAGTTCTTCTAGCTTGGACAGTGACTGCAATCCTGTACTTTAACTGGCATTTATATTTGTAGCTCTTCAAGAGATTATTTTAAGTCCAGAACATTGACTTTTAGTCCTGGCTGTACCTTAGAAACACATGTGGAGCGTTGTTAAAAATACAGATACAGGCCTGGCTGGTGTGGCTGGGTGGCTGAGTGTCAACCTATGAACCAGGAGGTCACAGCTGGATTCCTGGTCAGGTCACATGCCTGGGTTGTGGGCTTGATCTCCAGTAGAAAGTGTGCAGGAGGCAGCTGATTGGTATTTCTCTCTCATTGATGTTTCTATCACTGTATCTTTCCCTCTTTCTCTCTCTCTGAAAATCAATGAAAACATTAAAAAAAAATAGATATAGGCAGCTCAACATACTTAAGAGACCCAAAGCATCAAAAAGATGACAGTGTTTTCCTCATACATAATTCAGAATAAAAGCAATACTGTATCATGAAACATATGTAAGAAAATCTGTGCACTGATCTCCCAGTGGAGGATGGAGGCGGGAGATGGGACCAAAAAGACAGAGACAGAAAGACAAATTGGGTGGTGGCCTCTCACCCTTCCATGCAGTCGAATAAAGCTTCTATAAGGCTTAAGAGTCTTCAAGCCAAAGTCCGCAGTCAGAGGACCTCTGGGTCTCCCAGGAATGCTCCTCCTTGTCATTCACGGTCAGTGTCTGACAGACACCATAAAAGGCATGGCCTCACTGCAAACCCAGCTGCGATTCCAAAGTGGGGCAGCTGAGCCCTAGGTGAAATACGTTCTCTGTAGTCTTCCTGTATTGAAGTTCTGTGCCACAGATATCCAATGTGGTAAAGGGCACAGTACCCTCAGGAAAACCTTTCCCTGACTAGTGTCTTACAAAGCCCTCCATAACTATTTTTTCTTTTTCCATTGAATTTATTGGGGTTTCATTGGCTAATAACATTTTTTACAGGTTTGAAGTGTATACTTCTATAATACATCATCTGTTTATTGTATTGCGTGTTCACCGTCCAAAGTCAAGTCTCTTTCTTACCATTTATCCCCTCTTTACCCTTCTCTACCTCCCCCCACCGGCTCCCCGATCTCCCTCCACTCCTCAGTCAGAGAAAGACAAATATAATATGATTTCGCTTATATGGGGAATCTAATGAACAAAATAAACAAACAAAACAGAAACAGACTAGTAGATACAAAAAAAAAAACCAGACAGCTGTCAGAGCCCTCCATCATTATTAATCGAACTCCTCACTATCATAGGATTGGAAGAGGAAAGGGGAAACGTAAAATGTTACTTGAATATTTAACACTAACTCACACTTGTAAACAATGTACCAAATGTTTTATTTCTCTCAGTAGTTCATATGCAAATAATAAACTCTCAAAGCATTTTAAAAACACAAAAGACATTATTATACTGTCCCAGGGGATTAACCAAATTAAAATGTTACCAATATTTGAAAATTTATTTTTAAGCCAACTTGAGATGAGGAATTCATAATATTTCCTTAGTTCAATGTTTTGTACATGCCATTAGTACAATAAAATTTCTTAAATATTTAGGGCATTGTCAATAACTATGATTCATATGAAAAATAGATATATCAGATTCCTGATTAAGTCAGTTGTAAAACACAAAATACAGCACACCTGTTATGAAATTGTTTGTAACGCTCTTTTCTTAAACTGCAATTAACTACTGATGAATTCTGTTTAATCCTAGAAGTTTTATAAATGATACTTTTCTTCACAGAAAAAAAGAAAGATGTTGAAAAGAGAGCAAAGATCACCATACTTTATCAAAGGTCAAATATTTAGGGAATCAGTTATTACCTCCTCTTTTTTGGAATCTGCAGTAAATAATAACTAGAAAAAATTTTTTAGCGCTTTAAGGCCAGTTTTTAAAAAAACATGAATAAAGATAGTAAAAACATTACCATATGCCAACAAAAACAGAACAAACCAAGTGTGTTCATATCTTCATTTCATCATCAATTCAGTGATTTGAAATAAATGCCATGTTAAAAACCATGAGCAAATTTAAAGATTCATCCAAGGAAATTAAGTACTTTTGAGAATTTAAAAAGCTTTAGTAGGCAGTATATCTTTAATCAGCATAAGCAAGATGCAGAAAAAACAAAAAAATACTGTAGACTGAATTGATCCTCATAGGCCTGCCCCCTCAAAACACGTATCTACCACTTATTTTCCAGGGTTGTTATATATGCCTTATTTTGCTTATACATAAAGCAACTAGAGGTTTTTCATTCTTCCTATTAAGTATTTAAAATAAATTTCTAGGCATGCATTATAACTGTTCATTTATAATGCCCTTAAAAATCTTTCAACTTATGAAAAACAATTTCTGGAGATATAAAACTATGAAACTTTTCATACTTCTAAATCTTTAAAACTTAAAGTGCAATAGTTTCATGTATCAGCAAATTATAGTTGTGCCATATAAATTCATCTTGAAAGGACATGAAAATAATTTCCAAAATTTTGTAAATGGTACATTATAGAGAGCAGAGCATTGATATTTTAAGTTTTGATTTTTCATGTCTTAATATTGCAATGCAAGGAGGGAAAATAAGCACCAAACCAAACATTTTTATTAGGAGAACAATGTTTTTCATGAGGGAAAAAAAAAAAGGAAACATCATGTCTCCCTTTAGTGGCTTCTCTTCAGTCAATTGCCGCATTTACCAAAAATGTTAGTTCAGTTACTGAACAAAGTATTCAATATTTGTCCAAAGGTTTGTCCAAAACCTCTCAAATAACAATCTGAATCTGAGCTCCTTTCTTATTCTCGAGTAAAGGCTTTAATTAAAAACAAGTCTATTACCATTTGATTCACAATATTAACATTAATGGAAATTTCACTCAGTTGGAAGTGATATTTCTTTAAGGGTCTGACCCATTTGTAGCACTGTAGAGTGGATTATTAACATACACATGGCTACAAAATTAGAGTCAAAACCAAAGGAAAAAAACATGAAAAACCAAGTATCCAGCTATTCTACAAAAAAAAGTCTACAACTAAAGGATTGCTTAAAATGTTCTCTTTGGTAAGATAAAGAAGGGTGGTTCACAGACATGACTGATTTTCTCCCAGGAGCAGCCCTAGGATCTGTGATTACAAGGTACTTAGGGCCTGAGAAGTTTCAGTGATGACTGCTTCCTCAAGTTTTGTTGGTGTCTCATGGACTGTGCATCCTCAATGGCATGACATGCTCTCTGCAAAATAAAGTATTTATTATAAATGGTAAAGAGAAGTGCAGGCTAATTTGGTGGAAGAGAAAGGGACAAACGCAAGAGCTGGAGCTTTCCACACAGGTCCAAGAGTCAAGGACAAGAATATGCCACACGTGTAACGCAAATAAGACTCTTCTGGCATACTGAGCCCAGTATATTATTTTAAGCTCATATATCCATCCAAACATAACTGGAAGATCTTTTGGCAGAAATAATGGGTATTGGTAATGGGTATTGGTAACTATAACCTATTTTTAAAATATCTTTCAGCTAAAAAACTGAGGGGATGTTCTTTGAAATAAGTTGTTTACCTCTGCTGTGGTGGTATCCAGTAGGTAAATTTTCCGGAGACAGGATTGATTGGCACTATCTTTTTTGTGGAACATACTCTGATCCTATTTCAAAAGAAAGAATGACAGAAAAGATTATTTTGGAGGAGAAGAAAACATTCATTACCTTTAATTGGATGCTTAAATGTCAATTCTATTTTATAACCATATAAAATACACATTGTCAGGTAGAATAAAAAATAAGTCATTTTGGTACAAGAACAGTGGTTCCATCTGTGAGTTAGAATTTATGAAATTGGAGGAGTATGCATCTATCTGTATAAAATAATGACTTTTTGCAAGCTATGATATTTACCATCACATCTGACAAATCAAAAACCCTTCCTTCATTTCCGTGGCTGATAGATAAAATTCTTATATAATGCAAAATACATTGGGCTGATTCTCACCACTGATGTGAAAGGGAAGTGATAAACAAGGAAACTGTAATATATCTGCACAGTGACACAGTCTTTGCTAGCTGGAAAACTACGTCTCATTTACTAAGGCACTCTACATTTTGACACTCTACAAGGAGGGAAGGCTAGAATACAAAATACTATAGTTTCACAGTAGTTTCTTTCGTTTGTAAACTTCTATGAAAGAAAACATAAATTAAAAAATAACAGCACTTGCATCTCTAACTATTAAATTTTATGATACATGTTTTTCAGATAGATTCAGTCATAGAGATAACATCGTTACTGTTCAGGAAAAACACCATCTTTGGAGTGACAATTTTTAGTTTCTTGTAAAGAGGTTAAAATAAATTTATAATACATCATATATAAATATATATATAATGTATATATATATACATATATACGTATATCAAAGTAAAGTGAGTCTGAGAACTAAGCAAAAGATGGGCTATCACATTTGCTAATTACCTGCTATATAATTAAAGTTTATTTCTTAGAAAATGATGGGGAGGAAATACTTAAAAGAATTTTATATACTTCAATTGTTTAGCATTCTAAAAATGCCAAATAATAAAACATGGGTGTTTTAGACCTTATATTTATAATAACCTCCTAAATGCCTAAAAAATGGAATCTTTCCAGAAGTACGTGAGATTAGAGCAAAACAGATATTCATATGAAATTAAAAAGACCTTTTATTTACTAATGCTTCATTCTCCCCAAAGAGGAAGTATCAGCACCCTAGAATTATCAGTAGATAGAATTGATATTTCACTCCACACAATCAAGGATTGCCAGAAAATAGTGTACAGTATCTCAATAAGTCACTTATACCTTTTCTTACATTTCAGCCAATAACAATCCTTCAAATATTTTGTGTAGTTAACTTTTAAAAAAAAAAAAAGAGTCAAAAACACTGGTTTCCACTCATTTAACACAGGTTCGATTCTGGTCAAGGGCATGTACCTGGGTTGCGGGCACATCTTCAGTGGGAGATGTGCAGGAGGCAGCTGGTCGGTGTCTCTCTCTCATCGATGTTTCTAACTCTCTATCTCTCTCCCTTCCTCTCTGTAAAAAATCAATAAAATATATTTTAAAAACGTGACTCTAGTTTTCTTACCTTAACTGAAATGTTTAGCAGGTTCCCATTGACACTCGGAGGAAATACAAAATCTTCAAACAGACACTGCCAGTCTATGCACATAAGGCCAAGAATTTCAACCTCCTTTATACACACCACTCGCCTATTTTACAAAAGGAAACAAAAACATAAGATAAAGACTGTTAATGATTACTGCTAATATTTCACTCTGCTGGATGGAACAGGTAGTAGTACTCAGTAAACAATATAACTTGGCATTAAAAATAGTATGCTTCACATAAAAAGTCTAGATAAAGAGCAAATATGGCACCTACCAATTAACAAAGCAGACTTTCAAAAATTTTGCTTCTGCTAATCTTGCAAAATTTACAAAAGTGTCATTTTTTTAAAACTGAGCAAAATACTGAAATCATCTTTTAAACACACAGAAACAGGTTGTACTCTCATCTGGCAAGCAATAAAGGCAGAAGCTCCTGAAAATGTCTTACTTGGAAAATTATTAATTGCTCTTTACTGTCAATCATTTATGCCTTCCAGTCAAGAAAGAATGTGCAGGAAATGTCACAAACCTCAAATGTCAGCAAAGATTCATGTTAGGCCTACTAATAAATATCAGGTTTGAATACTTTAACACTAATGTACTATATCACAGAGTAAGTATCCCATTTTACTCAATTGCAATAAAAAAATAACAATTGTTAAAGTGTATACACACTGATTTCCCAGTGTGTGATTCAGATTAATTACCAATATAACTACACTCGGCTCTAAAGGGTCTCTAACAGAAAGCAAAACTAGGAAAGTAGAACTGTTAATTCTACAGTAGCTAGGGTGCCAGAGAAACAAAAAGGATAGGGTTTCTGCTTGAGAGGTACTCGGGAGGCTAGAGGGGAAACAAACATGTAAATACATAAAACAGGTGAGTGCGACAGCAGAGTTTGCAGAAAAATTCTGACGCACAGAGAGGAGGCCTGGTTGTGCTGGTAAAGAAGGTGGCGTTAAGAGCTGATTCTCAAAGGAAAGAGGTTTCTAGGAGGGAAAGGGAAATTCAAGCCCAGACAAAGGGAGCTGGGCACTGACATACACAGCGCTACAAAAAAGGGAGGTTTATCCGAGGAATGTGGGGGACTAGCTAGAGCACCAGAGATATACAAAGGTGAGAGAATTTGCTTAGTGACAGATCTGGAGGGGATTGTTTTTCCATTTTAAGAAATTTTGACTTTAACCTACAGGCAATGGGAAGTGACATGATATAATTCCTTACTTCAGAGTCAGCTCTAGTGGTCATGGAGGAGAGGTGGGGTAGATAATCAAGGTAGGAAGTTATGTCAATAATCCAATCAGGAAACAGTGAGAGCCTCCATTAAAGCAGTGGCTGTGAGAAGGGGGGGGGAGGGGTGGGGAAACTCAATTCTAGATATTTATAAGGTAGACAGTCCTATGAACTTGGTGACCAATGGAGTATGGGAACCAAAATAGACCCGTGGCACCACAATTCTCAGCAGAGGTGCTAGTAAAATTGTGGGCTTGTTTGGGATTGTCTTGTGCACTGCAGGGAGTTCAGCACCCCTAGCCCCGGCCTACTAAACGCCCTCCAATCACTAGGACAACCTCCAATACATTCCAAACAGTCTCTAGGAACTGGGTTCCACTCCCGCTTCCTCCTGCCCTAGTAGAGATCAGATGATGGAGTTAAAACTCAAAGATACCCATTACAAATCACTGTGTCAAATGCAATTCACCATTCCAACCCTCTTAAATTTCTCCCTTCTCTTGATCACACCAATAATATAATTGTTCTTCTTCCACCTTAAATCTTTATTTTCCTTCTCCGTGTTTACCACAGCTCAAATCTTGGTCGTCTTCTATTTAACACCTCAGGGTCCAAGATCTCAACTCCAAATCTTTATCCAAACATCAAGGGTCTATATCTGTGTCTCTGCTACTGAGGCATCTATACTTTGACATCTCAAAGCCACATCGAAGTCAGTCAATTCAAACAAAATTTTAAAAATCGTCGTTTCACTCAAATTACTGTAAATGGTAATATCAACGCTCTTGCTATTCAAGCCCCAAACCACAAAATTATCTTGCATTCCCTTCTCCTCCACGTTCACTCAGTCACCAAGCCCTGGTCCTGTCAGGCTGCCCCTCTGCATTCATCCTCATTCTTTTAGGTTTGTCCCTCATCACTTCCTATCAGGACAACCACAATCTCTGAGGTAGAGAGAATTCCAAGATGGGTCACGAGGGTAAAGCCCTCATGAATGGAATTAGTGCCCTTATCAAAGAGGCCTGAGAAAACGCCCTTGCACCTTCTGCCACATGAGGACACAGTGGGAAGAACCATCTAGGAACCAGGAAGTGGGCCCTCACCAGACACAGACAGCACCGTGATCTTGGACCTCCCAGCCTCCAGAACTGTGAGAAATAACAATCTGTTGTTAAGCCACCTGTCTCTTGTATTTTGGGAATAGCAGTCCAAACAGACTAAGACAGATGGTTTAAAAAAAAAAGTCTGCTCAGAGAACAATTTCCTAATGAAGATTACTAAAATAAAATATTATGTAGGAGTTAGGACCAACTAGTGGAACTGCAGGCTAATAAATTTAGGTCAGGAGAACTCATATTTTATTTCCAATAACTGATAAAAAAATATCAAGACAAAATTTTGGATGAATTTCAATATAGAAAAATTAAAAGTCCTATGTATTGAAAAACTCATTAAAATGTTAATGATATATTGGCTGAAAGGGGCTAATATCATTAATTTATATAATGCTTTTTAAATTCAGTAAGAAAAAGACTAACATAATGAAAAACGAGTAAAGGATATGAATAAGCAATTCACAGAACATAAAATACAAATGGAAGGATGAATGTTTTAAAATATTCATACTCATTATTTTCTACCCATTAAATTAGCAAAAACAAAAAAGTTTAAATAACATCTCATCTTGCAAAACATAGGAGAAAGGATTCCCTCAGGTACTATTAGTTATATGTAAAAAAACTAACACAGCCTTTCTGATAAAATAACTTGGCAATAAATAGAAATAGCATCAAAAGTCTTCACAACTTTTAACTCAACAATCCCACTGATAACAATTTATCTGAAAGAAATAATTATAGAAAAAATACTTAGCTGCAAAGATGTGTTCATAATAATACAATATTAGGAAAGAGAAAATCAAATGTCAAATAGGCAGTATTTGAATAAGTTATAGTATATCCATAAATACCATATTATATACTCATTAAATATCATGTTGTCACAGAATATTTAATGGTTTGGCAAGATGATCACAAATATACTTTTAAGTGAAAAACCTAGGTTAATTAAATGTATATGGTGCGGTTTTTTTATACATAGTTTTTATAAAATACATATACTACAAAAATCTGATATACCAGCTAGTATTTCTGGATGAAGGGACCGCTGCTAAAGGTTATTTTTACTAGTTATCATTGAAATCAGGACACTTTTCAGAATGAAAGGGATAGCCACTAATAGTTACATTGGGACAAAAAGTACAAACCAGCTCTGTCCAAGGCTAACCGCAGCTTTAGTTATTTTCATTTTCTTAATTATTTTCTATATCAGGAGTGGGCAAACTACAGCCTCTAAGCCAAATCCAGTCCATGGCCTATTTTAGTAAATAAATTTTACTGGAACACAGCCACAGCTACCCTGTTCATTACCTATTGTTCCTGGCTGTTTTCCCACTATAAGGACAGAGTTTAATATAGACCGGAAACATGAGATGGCTTTTGAAGCCTAAATTCTTAGTACTGGCCCTTTAAGGAAATTGTGTTGATTCCTGATCTATATTATCTACAATGAATAAGCATAACTTTAACTTAATAAAAATTCAGCTTAATAAAAATTGAGTTATTTTTAAATGCTGATTTTGGAAGCAATGCTATTTTATGTACAACATTAAAAATCAAACAGATCAAAATATTGACAACCACCTGAATCAAAGAAATTTCTGTTAGAGTCTACAACAAGGAGACTATGTCATTGTCCTGGTCAGGAATGTTATTTTTCTGATTGTCTTCTGAAAAGCTCTATGAGAGACTGGATTTAAAATTATCATGATTTTTCGATTTACTTGAAGAAAAACCAAAAGTTTAATCTATAATAATAAAAGGGTAATATGCTAATTAGACCAGAGGGAAGCTGGTGCCGGCAGCCGGGGAAGGAAGGCCTACTCTTGCACGAATTCCATGCATCGGGCCTCTAGTGTATTAGTAATGTATACAGTACTATTCCCACAAAATGCCTAATCAAACAAATATTAAGTATTACCAAACAAAAACCAAAAATTTAACATTTCCATTGCCCAGTGTTGATACACAATTTTAAAATGAATTAACACACTGCTATTGCAGCTAAGTACAATACACAATACAAATAAACATTGTTTTTGGTCTAGTCTAATGGATGTAATATAAAATTTTAAGCATAAAAAATAAATGATTACTTGTCAAGCCTGCCAAAACTGCTTCTTAGATTGTGAATATTTTGAATATTTTGAAAATATTGTGAATATTTTAATTTCTTAATTAATGGGCAAATCAGATGACTGATTCTCTTTTTAAAAAGGCTTGTAGAGCCCTGGCTGGTGTGGCGCAGTGGGTTGGGTGTCATCTCCTACACTAGGAGGCTGAGGTTCAATTCCCAGTCAAGGGCACATGCTGGCTTGATCCCCAGTGGGGGGCGTGCAAGAGGCAGATCAATGTTGTGTTTTCACATGGAAGTCTCTCCCTCTCTCTCTCTCTCTAAAAATCCATTAACTATTTTTTTAAAAGCTTTTAAAAAAAGCTTGTAGGTTTAAGTCTAAATCCTATCATTTTAGCTTTACTTTCTCTCCTTCCCAATCAAATATATTTAAATGCATTAGTAAGAAACCTAATGCAGATTTTGCTTACTGTAAGTACTTTGCCTTAGTCCGACAAAATTACATAACTTAGAAAGTTTTGAAAATTATTAATCTATAATTATCATATTATCATTTTGGAATGAGTGACATAGAGAAAATAAACAGTAGTTCAAAGTTCTTTTACTTGGAAAAATTATCTACAACTCCCAAAACACTTAGAAAAAAATGGAATAAAACTACAGAAATAATTATCATCCTTTAAAAAAAACCTATGCTTATCATCCAAAATAAAACTTAGTGAGAAAAAGTGATTCATGAATTCACCCTCCATAAGTAAATTTATAATCTATAATAATAAAAGGGTAATATGCTAATTAGACTGGACATCATTCCAGATGTCCTTCCTGACAAAGCCGGGACAGGAGGAAAGATTGCCAGGATCCCGGGAGCCTGCGAGCAGCCTGAGGAAAGCCAGCTGGGGTCCCTGGTGCCTGTGGGCGGCCAGAGGAGAGAAGCAGCCCGGGTGCCGGGTGCTGGAGGGAAGCCAGTGCTGGCAGCCGGGGGAAGGAAGGCCTACTCTTGCACGAATTTTTGTGCATCGGGCTCTAGTTCACATATAACCATATGGCTATTGAATTTATGAAATCTATTCTAGACACTATTTTTTAGTAGTTTTGTGACTTGGATAAGCCCCTAAGCCATGCTGACTCATAGTTTCAGCATCTCCAAAATGAGAGGGTCTAAACCAGTGATATCAAAGGAGCCATCAGCTCAGTGTTTTTGCGAGTCTATGACAATGAATATTTTGCAGTTGGAATATAGTTCTCCACATCCTCTAACATTTTAGTCTTCAAAATTCTTAAGATCTATATCATTGGCAATTGGAAAGATGTCACTTAAAGTTAATACCTATTTGTAATCATAAGGACTGTCCTCTTGCTTCCAGAAATAGCGCAATGATATCGATACATCTCTCCTTCTAACTTTTTGACATGATTCTGAAAAGAAAAACACACACAAAAAACCCCTCAAGATGTAAATAATACATGCATTCAAACAGTATTTTTAATATTGTATATTAGCTAATTTTAATAACAATGTTAGGAAAAATATTAGGAACAAAGCACAATTCCACATAGTCTCGTGTGAAGCTAAAAAAATATTCATCACATGTTTATAAATTACCTTCCACTGTTCCTTAAAAGACAAATATGTATTAAATGCTTACTAAGTGATCTTCTGGTAAATTAACATTTCATTCTGTGATAACTTAGAAATTTTAGACTATCTACCAGAAATAATCACACATTTTCATTCATGAGAATATGAACATATGCTAAAACTTGGACATTAATATTACAGGGGTTCTTAACCTGGGGTCCATGGAAACATGTTGGCAGGGCTATGAACAACCTAAAATAGAATATAAAATTTTGAAAATGTGGTTCTGCAACTTCTTTCAGATGATGGTTCATATTTTTCATCTGATATTTTTAAATGTCTGTGATCCTTCTCAAAGGCTAAGAACCACTGCTTTTACATAGAGGTAGATATACACATAATAAAATTCCAAGATAACTGATCAATTTAGTGTTTTGAGTATTTAGTTTTATAGGTTACATATGCATGAGTATATGTATGTATCAAATTATGTTCCTGAGAGAGAAGAAAATTTAATATAAAGACACATAAAAAATTTCTAAGATTTCAAATAGCTGCTACAATTTATTGCTAACAATTACAAACATAAAATAATTCAAGTATAAATAGTAGCACATTAAAATACATTTGTTTACATTTCAACCATCTCAAAACTACTTAGTCAACACATTAAAAACAAACAGTTATGTTTTATAACTAATGTTAATGAAATATTATTGATATTATCTGTAACGTATAATTAAAGATTAGATAATTAAGATATATGTAAGCAGAAAACATAAATATACCCAATAAATAAGACCTTAATATTTTTCCATCCCCCAAGACCTTAACATTTTATAACTAAGAATAACCAAGAATATAACACCAATATTAATAGATAATGTAATCAATAACAATCACAAGCAGATCTGTTATTATTTCCATTTTAAATACACGTTTTTTAAAGGCCCTTGGTTCCCAGTCATTCTTTGACGATTATAAAAAGCTATGGACAGAGATGGATCCTCAAAGAACTGAGGTCTCATCTTCAGAATGAATCTCAGAGAAGCGGAGTTTAGCAGTTACTTGTTTTACATTAAGCTTGTGTGAATTAGCTAAAATCTGTTAACATCTATAACTTAATTTATTTAATAAAGAGAGAATGGAAAATAAATATAATAATTTAGTAAATTTATTTTCAATGTTGGAATGTAAATATGTAAAATTTTTGGATTTTAGATGCATTATACAAAAAATACTACCAACTTTCCATCATTCATGCACTTTCATTAGTTATCAATCTATTGCTATCTTTAAACTATTGAAAGCTTTTAAAGTATAATTTATCACCATAATATACTATAGAAACCTTGTTTTTTAAGCAGTACTAAAATCCACTACACTCTGAGATTCAGATTAAGATAGTCACTGATGGCAGCAAGATACCAGATTAGTTAATAAAATATTCACTCTCTCTTCCCAAAATGCATCTTGAGGAATTTACAATCTTTAGCAAAAGCATTCATTTTATATTTCAAGTAAATTCTAAGGAAATAATACAAGATATGAAAAAGCAATGTATATAATAATGTTTCATTATTACTGTTATTAAAATAACAGAAACAACTTTAATGTCAAGAATTAGGAATGGTCAAACACACAGTACATGGTTACCTTAATAGATGGTAATGCAAGAACTAAGAATGAAATATTTCTATGAACATGAAAAAATATAATTAAAATGAAAAAGCAAGAAACACCATTTTAAATATTATATAATCATATGTATGAGAACCAAGATGAGTATGAAATAAGATCTGGCCATATAGATATGTGTGTGTGTGTGTGTGTGTGTGTGTGTGTATGACATATAGTAATTATTCTAGGAGGAGAATAAGCAAAATATATCCTATAAAAACACAGTATATGATTTAGTAACTTTCAAAGCTGGGCATTAAATAATACAGAGCAATAATCAGAAGAAAAAGAAAATGGAGAAAATAAAAAAATTCCCAAATAAATATTTAGAATGTACCCATATAACAAATCAAGGCTAGGAGGAAATAATTTTATACTCTAGTTCTCTTTAATATTTAGACATTATGTTATACTTAGTCTCTTAAGGACAGAAGTCTTATTTCTTTTGTATATCCAGCACAGTCTAGATAATCAATAAATACATCATAAATAACTGATTATAGCAAGATGGGCAAGGGATGAAAAAGCCTACACTTGTCACTCATTGAGAATAATTACCAAGTCATCTTATTAATATACAATCACTCTATTTCCTCCAGTAACTAAAATAACATATAAAAGTTTAAAAGATGTCTGATATTAACAAAAACTAATAAATCAGACAAGATAACTACATTTAGCTTTAAATATAAAAAGCTTCTTGAAGTTTTGTGCTTATTCATAAGCAGTTGTAAAACGGATCATTACAAGGAAAAGTTTAACAATATAAAAAGCTAAACATACAGAAAGTAAACAGTAAGTTAAAAAATGTTTAACAAGTTAATACAATTTCCCAAAAATCAAGTCTCATTAAAATTGCAATATATCCAGGTAAATTAAAAATAGTTACTTTTACCTAAGAAGGAAAAGTAATTATTAGTGATGATTAAAGACAGCATCTTGAATTAGTTATTGTGCCAGATTCTTACAGAAACTGTATATGCAGGGACTTTTTTGCCAATTCTCAATTATGTAGGCACAAGAAAAATTTGTCAGCTAGAGTTTTAGGCTGGTCTTTGGATATCATTCTTTTTTCTTTAAAGTGCTTGTTTTAAATGTGAAGCATTTAATTTACTCTTTTGCTAATTATGGTTTAAAATATAATTAAAATGAAAAAAGCAAGAAACACCATTTTAAATATTATATGATCATAAGTATATGAATCAAAAATAGATATAATCCAACTGACCAGCTATATGCTAACAGTTTCATTCTCTTCAAATGTATAACACATTAAATCTAAATTTATACTTTGGTTTCAATTTGGGGGAAAAGAATGATAACTTATTATGAAAATTAACTATGAAGGCACTAATTTCAAAATCATTTATGGTATTTTGTTCTCATTAAGATAAGGAGGACTTAAAAACAAAAAGGGTTAGCTTTTAAAAATAAATAAATCTATGAATTCAAGTGCCACATAAGCAATTTGTCTAATTACATGTTCAACTTCTATTTACATTAATTAAAAGTAATATAACTGTGAAATTAGCATAACCAACAAGGAGATTCAATTTTTGAAAAGTATAAATGCTAAAGGCTGAGAATATATGTACATAATTATAAAATGATTGCCATTTATCTAGCAAGAATACCAAGAGTTTTTAAAAGGAAAAAAAGTAAGGAAACACATTCTCAAAATTCATTGACAGACATAGAACAACTAACTAACACTTCAGTTATTAAAACATACGCCCCAGTTAATACTTCCATAACGTGGGTAAATTTAGGGTTATTTATGAAACAAAGTTATGTAATTCCATCATCAGGACTAATAAGCCAAAGAATACATAATACATTGGACATAATTTCCTTTATCCAACTTTAACTGAAATGTACATGAATGCCACAAGAAAAGATACAATTTTCAAAATAATAGTTAAAATGTGTGCTTCTGAGCTCAATTAAAGTCTTTCACCAACTAAATGGAGAAAAGAGTTGATTTTTCTGCATTACTTAATCTGTTATATTGATCTCTTACTCCTATATAGTATTATCATGAATACCATTTTTATTTGTAGTCAAGACACTACAATAAAAAGTTCGGATTTTTATTTTTAAAAAAGCTCATGAAAATGGATTCTCAACCTAAATAAATCAAAGACAGTCAATTAATACCACAGTTTGTTTTGATTTTTAAGGATGAAATCAAGTAGTGGTATAGGAGACATTTACTCCTGTATTTCCAGTTCTTGCTGTGTAGGCAGAAAAAGAAAGAAAATAAAGTTAGAAGCATGCAGATAAATAAAATGTAATCACATATAATAAAAGCCATAGACTAATAACAATGAAGAGTCATTTTATTTTAAAATGAAAGTAGAAAAATATTAATAAATTTATTTTGGGGGAAAGCTAATCATTGGAGTATATTTATACAGGTCTATTTTATTTAAATACAGTAAAAACTAAAAGCCAAAAAAATCCTTTAAATTTTTTAAGGCTTGAAACTATTATAATTGTACATAATCTTTTTTTCTCTCCTCCAGCTTCTGTTTATCTAAGTAAATCTGGATTTACAGAGTAGTCCAAATAAGTAGATTTGGTTGGGATAAAAGAAAGCAGTGAAATTCCAGTAATTAGCTACAAAGCAGAAAGCCAAAGTTAACAATGTTAACTAAATGAACTATCACACAAATAGTAATAAAGCCTACAACTTCTTTTAATATTATCCTTTCTGTACAAAAAAAGCTTTGCGCCTGTGCAGAAAAAAGATTACCAGTTATTCCCATTTAACACATTACACTATAATAAAGCAATCAAATTCTACTCTACAAACCACGTTCCTTGTGTAATCTCTAAAAAAGTTCATGAATGAGGAACTTCACGAACCACCCATGAAATTCTGATCCTAGAAATCTTTAAAATTAAATTTCACTCATGACCATAAGAACAGAACTTATACCTCATATAAATCATAGCCCTCGGATTCCTGTCTGTCGTAGGGGCGAATGATGCCGTCTTCATGGATCAGGCGAGGGGGACGGAGTCTGGACACTTCCTCAGTTGACTCTGCTGCCCTGTATAAGGCATCAGAATAAGTATAAGAAACTGTGAGAATCCTTCAAAATAATACAAGTATATATGTTGATAAAACACTGTACTATGCTCCATATTACATCAGTATTTGATAAAAACAATCAGAGTACTTTTAAATAACTTGTCCCAAATAATGCAACAAATATTAAAACCAAGTCTGTCTGACTCCAACCTCTCCCAGCTATTAAAAAAAAAGAAAGAAAAGAAACGTCAAAGAATAAAGGCAAAGACTAGGTTGTCCATTCTTTGTATCCTTGGTGTGTAGCATATAGTAGGTATCAATAAACATTCATTGAGAAAAAAGAGAAATTTAGGCATAAACAATGTCTCCTCTTATTCCTTTCTGGTGGCACTCTACTTAGTGAACCTGTCATACAGGAAGCAAAATATTTACGTAGTTATGTATCCCTAGCAACAATTAGCACACAGACACATATCTTGCACATAGTATGTACTTAATTACCTCTGAATTCCCTGGAAGGTACTGCTGGCCATATCTATGATTCCTCCAGTGGGACCAGCCACAGCACCCACAAGCCCTTTTCCAATTCCTTTAAAGAATCCAGCAGCTCCTTCCTTTTTGGCACCTTCATAAAACCAAAGACAATGAATGTATAAAGATATTTTTAAATAATCAAGTTTGAACACAACAGAAGCCTGAGTAAAATGCCAAAATGCTTATTCAAAAAGCTTCCAAAATTTGGCTTTCTGAAGAAGTTAAATTTAATGACAACATGATAATCAGTGGTTCTCAAAGTGTGTTAAAAATGCGCACTTAGGCCCCATCCTAGACCTACTGAATTAGGAACTCTGGGAGTGGTCCCAGAAATCTGTTTTTATTAATCCTTACCCAAGGATATCCCCCTCCCTCCCCCCATCGAGTTTTAAAGAGAGTGGAAGGGAGGGAGGAGAGAGAGAGAGAGAGAGAGAGAGAGAGAGAGAGAGAGAGAGAGAGAGAAACATTGATGTGAGAGACACATCAATCAGTTGCCTCTTGTACACGCCCTGACCAAGGCTGGAATAGGGCCTGCAACCCAGGTACAAGCCCTTGACTGGGAATCAAACGCACACCTTTCAGTCTACAGGCAATACTCTAATCATTTAGCAACCCAGTCAGTGCAGCAATCTGTTTTAATAAACCTTCCAGGTAATCCTGAGGCATGTTCAAATTTATAATTAGTAACTCAAGAGTATTTGTGACTAGAAGGTCTAAGAACTGACCAGAAAATATCTTCTTTTTTTATGCCAGCCGTCAGAAAATTTTTCAAGTAGTGTACATTATATATATATATATATACACACACACACACACACACACACTAGAGGCCTGATGCACGAAATTCAAGCAAGGGGCTTGGCCCCCGCAGCCCCAGCTTTGTCCTGAAGGTCATCCAGAAGGACATCCAGTCTAATTAGCATATTATTAAGCTTTTATTATTATATATATGGTATGTGTGAACTTTACTGAAATATAATTCATATACCATACAATGTACTCATTAAAGTATAAATTAAATATTTTTAGTATATTCAGAGTTGTGTAACCATCACCAGATTCAATTTTAGAAAATTTTTATCATTATTAGCAGTCATTCCCCATTTTCCCTGACCCTTCCCCATCCGATCTTATGCAATTTACCTCCTTTCTCCCACCAGTCAAACCTAGGCAGTCACTAATCTACTTTTTTTCTATCTCTATGGATTTGCCTATTGTGGACCTTCCTACAATTGGAATCATTCAATAGGTGGTATGTTTAGCCTTCCCACTTGCCATCATGTTTACAAGGTTCACCACCTTATACTGTATAGACCAGCCGTGGGCAAACTACAGACCGCGGGCCAGATCCGGGCCATCTGAAATGAATAAAACTAAAAAAAAAAAAAAAGACCGTACCCTTTTATGTAATGATGTTTACTTTGAATTTATATTAGTTCACACAAATACTCCATCCATGCTTTTGTTCCGGCCCTCCGGTCCAGTTTAAGAACCCATTGTGGCCCTCGAGTCAAAAAGTTTGCCCACTCCTGGTATAGACAGTTCCCAACTTACAATTGTTCAAATTATGATTTTTGACTTTACGATGGTATGAGAGCAATATCCATTCGGTAAAAACTAATTCAAATTTCCTGAGCTAGCAGTATGCGGATGATACTGTCTCATGATGCAAGGCAGCATCAGTGAGGCTCAGCTCCCAGGTGGCCATGTGATCATGTGGGTAAGCAATCAATACTTTAAAGTGTAGTAGTAAATGCATTTTTGACTTATGATATTTTAAACTTAAAATTGGTTTATCGGGACATAACTGCATCATAAGTTGAGAAGCATCTATACTTGATTTCTTTTTACATCTGGACAATGTTTCATTATATCAATATACCACATTTCATTTATCCATGCATTAGTTGATGAACATTTGGGTTGCTATTATAGTCTGGCTACTATGAATAATGTTTCCATGAATATTTATATACAAGTTTTGGGGCAAACATGTTTTAAATTCTCTAGGGTGTATAGCTAGGAGTGGAATTGCTATGTCATAAAATATAACACCATATATTTACTTTCAGTTGTCCCAATATTATTTGTTGAAAGGCTATTTTTTCTTTATGAAATTATCTTGGCACGCTTCTAAAAAATATATTCACCATAAATGTAAAGGTTTATTTCTAGAATCTCAATTTCATTGATTCAGCTATATGTTTATTCATATGCTAGTACCACACTGTCTTAGTTACTGTAACTTTATAGTAAATTTTAAAATTAGATGGTACAAGTCCTCAACTTTGTTCTATTTTTTCAAGATTGCTTTGGCTATTTGCAATCCTTTAAATTCCTGTTTAAATTTTAGAATCAGCTTATCAATTTCTATAAAGAAGCCAATTGGGATTTTGATACATATTGCACTAAGTAAAGCAATGTGGTTTTTAAAATAGGATAAAAAAATAAGTTAGTAGCTATTGAAGGTCCACAGCAATCTAGTTTATGAACTTCCTGAATATAACATTTGAAGTCTAAATTACAGTCTACTACTTAACCCCTCTACTTTCTGAGAAAAGCATATTCATTAAACAATAATTTAGAACTATGAACATAAAATTAATCAGAAATCCTCCCAATCAAATACCTATTAGCAATAAAATTTACTATGTTTACCATGCATCAACTCTTCAGAGCCTGTACATGAGGGAAAGATTATCAACCTACCTTCCATAGGTTTTGTTATTATTCCAGTCACTCCACCAACAACTCCCTGAAAGAGAAATCAATCATACAGTCAAACTTGAATGAGGGTGCTTAATTTTAAATCAACCACTAGAGGTCTCTACAGACACACTAGAAAAAAACCAAAAAAACAAACCAAAAACCCAGGAGTACTTATTTGATAATGTGAACATGTACATAGAGGTGAACACTATGATTTTTAAAATGTCACAGAAAATGTTAAATGAAAGCAGCTTGTAGAAGTAATATTTTATAACAGAAAGAACAGTAAAGCAGGTGAAAAGATTATTTTTGTTGTTATTTCATATGGTATTTTTTATTTATTTTTTCAATTACAGCTTACATTCAATTATTATTTTGTATTAGTTTTGGGTGTTAAATCTGTTTCTATAAACTGCAAAATGAGTGAGTTGAGCCAAATTATCCATAATATCTACTTATAAATTTTAATGAGATTACTTATAACTTAATAAAAGTGTGGAAAATTGATAATGAAGGGACCCCTGAAAGATTTTGAGGAGACAACATACAACATTACAAATCACTGGCACAAACACAGCAGGTATAGCTTCCTGAAATTTCCAAAATTAAAATAGTAATATATCTATACATTCCCAGTAATTGTCAAGTAGTGGCATTAATTAAAACTACCTGCATATTATATAAACATATAAAAAAAGAACTAAAGGAATACACCCTATTGAAAAGATTAGATACCCCTGCAAAGAGGTAAGGGGTGACCAAAGAGTACTTTGAGCTTACCTATAATGATTTCATTACTTATTAAATATAAAAGGAAAAATTATGTTTTTATAATTACTTATAAGGAGAATGTTCATATGTAATCCATAATTAAACCATATTCATATATTACCTGCATAATTTTTTGTTTCTTTGTTTGAAAATGTGATTAACCCCTCTACCCAATAATGGCCTACCTGCTTAACTCTAAGTATATTATGAATTAGATTTATATTCCTTATTGTGCTATAGTCACAAAATTTATTGTAATGTTTGTCCTAAAAGTTTTTTTTAATATTTTAACTTACCATTTAGACACTAACTCCCCACTGTGTGTGTGTGTGTGTGTGTGTGTGTGTGTGTGAATGGTTTTGGGGGGGAATGCATTTGTTATTGCTGTTGACACTGTTACAGATGCCCCCTATCCCCCTCCCTTTATCCCCTTCAGACCTTGCTCTCCCCCTGACCCCCAAGCCTTCACCACATTGTTGTCTCTGTCCATGGGCTGTACATATATGTTCCTTGACTAATCTCTTCCAGTCCCCCGCCCCGCCACCTATCTCCCCTCTGAGGTCTGTCAGTCTGTTCCAGGTATCCATGCCTCTGGTATAATTTTTAAAGTACTGAGAAGTAGTAATGGCAGTTTCTGGTTAATATACAACTTCTACACCTCCCTTCCACAGAATGGTCCATTAATGATGACCTAAACTCCTCCTCCCCACAGGTATCATCATTTGCCATATTTCTCTGCTTATATATTTCTTCCCTTCCACACCAGTGCTAACCCGCCATCATTATGGGGTTTTCACTCCAACCCAAGTGCCAAACTAAGTCTGCAATTTTGGGGATAGATCTGATGATGATAATGGAGGAGGAAAGCAAAAAGGAAACAGAAAAGTTCACAATGCATCACTACTGCCACTCTAACAGATATCGGCTCTCAAGCAGTATTCCAAGGGTACATATCTGAAGTGTGCATAAAAGTCGAGGGCGTCTTGAGGATTCAGCATTAGACTTACACGCAGGAAGCCCTTTCCTCCTCTGGCCAAGCTGTCTCCAAAATCTTTAGGTTGTCGACCCATCTCTTCTCTTCTTTTTTGCTGATATTCCTTGTCCAATGTAATTGCTGCCAAACCTTTTCCAACAGAACCGGTGATTCGAGATACAACTCCTGCTGCACCACCTATCAAAAGGCCCAGAGAAGTAAGCTGCATTATTTCTTTAACAAGCATTACCACTGTACATAGCATACGACTGCTTAAACTAACCATTGCTTAAAATTCTGTCTCATACATAAAAATGCAAACATTTATTTTTTGTTTCCCATTTACCAAGAAGAGGAATAAAATTATTTAAAGTACATGGATTCTATACTACAAAGACATAAAAAAATCCAGCAAATCAGTGTTAAATTACTTTCCATTTAAGAACAAGAGAACACATCTTTTAAAAGGATTAGAAAAGTCATCTTTTTATAAAATACAATAATTTGTTTTTCATGAACAATTAATTTTATAATCTATACTAGAGGCCTGGTGCACAAAATTCATGTGGGGGGGAGGAGGGGGTGTCCCTCAGCCCGGCCTGCACCTTCTTGCAATCTGGAACCCCTCAGGGGATGTCCAACTGCCGGTTTAGGCCCAATCCCATTGGACATCCCTCTCGCAACCCAGGACCACTGGCTCCTAACTGTTCACCTGCCTGCCTGCCTGATCGCCCCTAACCCCTCTGCCTGCCTGCCTGATGACCCTAACTACTCTCCACTGCTGGCATGATCACAGCCGCTCGCCTGCCTGCCTGATCGCCCCTAACTGCCTCGCCTGCCTGCTTGATCACCCCTAACCTCCTCTGCCTCGGCCCCTGCCGCTGTGGCTTCATCTGGAAGGACATCCGGAGGTCGTTTGGCTGTCTGCTCTAATTAGCATATTATGCTTTTATTATTATAGATATATGAAAGGCTAATATGCTAAGGGTCCAACCGTCTGACTGGTCGCTATGACGCGTACTGACCACCAGGAGGCAGATGCTCAATGCAGGAGCTACTGAGCAGTCGTGACTTGGCAGTGGAGGTTCTCAGGTGACACATCCCGAAACCAGAGAGGAGGGAGCCTGATTCCTCACGGGGCCATGTGATTCCACCTTCGGCCCTGGGTTATGTTGTTGCTGGGACACTGTCGGCTCCGAATCTGGTTTACTGCACACTTGTGTTTGCATTCCATACCCTGTACGAGAGCAACTTTGCAGAGTGCCCTCTCGCACTCCGGGACACCTTGGGCGATGTCGGAGAGCTGGTTTCAGCCCCATCCCCAAAGGCCAGGCCAACGGACCCCACCTGCCAGACGGACATCGCTCACTCCACAGATGCCCCTGAGCCATGGCACCACCCCAGGTGTGGCAGGCCGGGGAGGGACCAAGGCAGGTTGGTTCCAGGGCATGTCCAGCCCATCTCGCCCAGTCCCACACCGCCAGCCACCTTCTAATTAATTTCCTTTCAATGTGCATGAATCCTTGCACCAGGTCACTAGTTATTATAATAAAACATATATATACATAAGTATGTGGTACATACCTACTGTGTGTCCAAAGAGACTTCTTACCCCAATCACTAACCCCTCAGCAAATTCTTCAGGGCCTTGTACAGCACCCTGGCCAAAAACAAGAAACAAAAAAATGCTATTTAAAACAGAATAAGTTTAAGACTGTTAATCTAGTATTTTAGGGTTTCCATGAAGATACAGAATCTGTAACGAGCCATAACATGTGATGACACAGCTTTTGCCCTCAAACCCAAATATTGATGGAACACCTATTATTTTTGAAGACACTTTCAACCCACCTGATCTCAACATACCCTTTAAGATGACAAAAATTGAATAGGAGTAAACCCCTAGCCTCAGTCACAATTGGAAGCTGCCCTCTCAGCACCAAGTTCCATCAGAATGCTAAACAAAGGTGGATTTTTTTGGTACATCTACACAATGGAATACTACGCTGCTATAAAAGGGAAGGAACTCCTACCATTTGCAACAGCATGGATGGAACTGGAGAGAATTATGCTAAGTGAAATAAGTCAGTCAGAGAAAGATAAATATCACATGCTCTCACTCATTTGTGGATTATAATGAGTTTTGTTCATAAACCGATGAACAAAAACAGATGTAGAGACAGAGAAGCATCAATCAGATGCTCAAAACTCAAAGGGAAGGTAGGGGAGGAGGAGGGAGGGGGAGAGACCAACCAAAGGACTTGTATGCATGCATATAAGCATAAGCGATGGATGTGGACAACAGGGGTGAGAGTGAGGGCAGGACTGGGGGGATGAGAGGACATTGGGGGGATAAGGACACATTTGTAATATCTTAATCAATAAAGGGGAAAAAAGTGAATGTTATGTTCTACATTTAAAAAAAAAAAGAAAGCTAAACAAGCCCCACTGGTAACAAGACTGAGCCCACACAGTATTGGCTTCCCTGTGCTCCCATTTATTCTCTCTACTTTGTCCTTCTGAAACCTTCACTACTTTGGGCTCCTGGATCCTTTAAATGGAGGAGAACAGGTTAGAGCAAAACCTGAATATAAAACTAAGTCAGCTTTTAATGCCCCATTAGTTCCTTCCATAGTGGTGAAACAGCCTTGAAATGGTCTTAATCTCTGTAGCATTCTTCCTTACAAGTACAATTAAATCCTGGAAAATGTGGGCATGCTTTATTGCACAGACAACAGAAGTGCTCAATTCATTATAAAACAATCTTTTAATGTCATCTCAAGTAATTTTAAATAAAAAAGTTGAATACTGATATATATATTTAAATTTTATTGAATTAATTGGGGTGACACTGGTTAATGAGTCTAAAAGTTTCAAGAGTTCAATTCTATAATAAATTATCTGTATATTACATTATTGTGTGTTCACCACCAAAGTTAAGTCTCCTTCTGTCACCATTTGACTCATTTTATGTCATGTTTCCCTCCACGTCCTGTGTGGTTCAGGGTTCGGGTCTGGAAGAAGAGCCGCACAACAAATGAAAAAGAAAAGACACGAGATAATTTGGGAATATTGGGGGACCAGGCGGCATGGAGGTGGCTGTTATGTGGTGGGGATTGCTCTTCCATTGTCCTTCTTTACCATCTGCTTGTGGGGGTGGCAGCAGGGACACCCAGGAGCTGGCTCAGTTCTGAAAGCAGAAATGATGTGGGTCCTTATGGCTGATGACACAGGGGGACTGACAATAGGCAAAGCAGGAAGGTGGTATATTTTCCAGGTTTTCCCTCATTGCCCTCCCTGGTCCTTTGCCAAGCCCCCTGCTTCCCGGGGTCCCCTGAGTGCCCCGTTGTAAGGTCAAGCCTAATTATGCTAAGAGGACTGTGCCCTCTAAGCTAGGACTTGTTTGTGACTTTGCCAGCAGGTCAGTCTGAGGCTTAACCCTGTATCAGTTTCCCACAATTTTACCCTTTTCTAACTCCGTCCTCCCTCCTTTCCCTCTGGTAACCACCATATTGTACCTGTGAGTTTTTGTTAGTTTGTTGCTTTCTGTTGTATTTTTGTTATCTGAATATTATTCAATTCCCAAATACAGTTAAAATACAAATTATTTGTCATTAATAAAAGAGAACATCCATTTTCCTATAGCAGTAGTCTGCAAACTGCGGCTCACGAGCCACATGCGGCTCTTTGGCCCCTTGAGTGTGGCTCTTCCTAAGCCTTAGGAGTACCCTAATTAAGTGAATAACAATGTACCTACCTATATAGTCTAAGTTTAAAAAATTTGGCTCTCAAAAGAAATTTCATTCGTTGTACTGTTGATATTTGGCTCTGCTGACTAATGAGTTTGCCGACCATTGTCCTATAGCTATACTTAAAATAAATAAAAGACCAATACCTGGAAGGGTTCATAGAACAAAGCTTCAACTCCTTCAGACAGACCTCTAAGTAATCCAAACGGGTTTCCAAGCACATCCAAGCCTAATACAAGGACATACATCTGTTTCAAGAACTAAAAAAAAAAAAGGAATTTAAGTCCTTTACAACTATTGGAAGAGACAACATTATGATACGACAGGAAAAAGAGGGAGTACTCGTTAAATTAGGTTGTTAAATGAAAGCAATGCGGAATAAACAGTACTATGTTCACTACATGCTCACTAATTGATATTTCACAATGTGGCAGGCAGTATGCTAGTACTTTACATGGGGCTTTCAAATTAGATGGAACTAGGATTGAGGCACAGTCTGCCATTATATAACTTTAGTGAGTATCTAGGCCTCAGTCTTCTCATCTCCAAAATGGGAGGTGTATTATACTGACCTTGCATGACTGAGTATGCACATTAAGTGAATATATAATTCAGTGATTGTTCCTTAATTTTAATATTGTTATCATCACTATTACTATGAAACTAAATAGGGAATAACAACCAAAAGAAAAACAAATAAAAATCTATGCTTATGTGAACATTTAATAACCAGAATGTCTCTACACACCACAGGAGAAAGCACCTTCCAACAGATGAAGGCAGGAGAATGGTACCTTGGAGTACCACAGTAAGCAAGGGTGCTCTTGTGCCCTGAAACAACTACTAATTCTGAGTAGTCAAACTGAACCACAGAGTAACTGAGTTATGAGGAGGAACCTGGCTTAGAATTCCTCTTGCAATTCTACTAGAATATACTTAGAAACTGCAGTCACTGAAAAAAATAAAGTGTAATGATTCCTAAGTCATTATTCTTTTCCAAAGTGAATAAATATGTAATTGCAAAGGGAAAAGGGTACCAGAAAAAACTTTTTAAAAGGTATATAGAGGGGGAAAGAACTAAAAGAAATAGAAAGTAATCATTCAAGAAACTACTAAGTAATAAGATTGCAAATTGGGATAAATTAGGTAAACATTACTGAATACCACACAATCACATACAAATGTTTTCTTTTGACATTTTATGAAGAATATTCCTTATGAGATATTATGATAAGAAATTACCTGTTCACTGTAATGTCTAACAACACTCCACATGAGCTGATCTCTTTTATAAAACTGATATCGAATTTCATAATAAGCAAGTCTGGGAGAAGAAAGATTCAAAGGTATTAAGATTATATTCTGAAAATAAGATAATTAAAATTTCAATGATTAATTATTGCTAATTCTTTTACAATTAGATCTGTACATCTGCCACATATATACTTGAGATCTTGACATTATGGTAACAGATTTATTGTTTAAATAGTACATTCTCATACAAGTCTTTCATAAAAAAAGAAAAAGGTTTAAAAAAGTCAACCATAATCCCCCCACACAGTGGACTTTTTAATTTTTCTTTCCGTGATTACCACTTTGAATCCTTTCTTTTCTCTTCAATACAATTTTAAAATGTTTAAATTCTGTATGCAGTTTTACACTTAACATCCTATATAATAAAAGGCTAATGTGTAAATTGTCCCCTCGGGATTTCAACCAACTTGGAGTTTGACCGCTCGCTATCACTGGGGGCAGCGTGGAATGAAGGATGGCCCTGGCCAGCAGCCGGCAGCACGGGGAAGGAAGGCCCTAATTGGCCCTGATCACTGGCCAGGCCTAGAGACCCTACCCATGCACGAATTTCATGCACCAGATCTCTAGTTGCGAATAAATATTTATCTCTGTCATTCAAAATTCTATGTAACACTTTTGTGTAAAGTATCATAACAATTCTTCCTCTCATACAGTTCCAAATTTTGAATATAACTCTTTGGTTAAATTTAAAGATATTTTTATGGAATTCTCCCCAAAATAATTACTGAGTGAAAGACTAAAACCATTTAAGACTCTTGATACATATCACTTTCCATTCCTACAGGTTTTTTTCAAAGGTACCCTTTTCTCAGGCTCACCCCCTTTTTGTACTAGAATTGCTCATATTTTGAAATCTTTTGATAATTTGCTGTAACTTTCCTATATTCTTAGATAAAAAATAAAATGTAACATTTCAGATCTCTATCAGCCACTGTACCTGCCCTTTTATGAGTTATCTCTTACTGTCTCTGGCAATATGGCATTGGAATCTTTAGCTTTTTCTCACGAATGTTAAATAGGAAGACTCTTAATCCTTTGTGTCATATTTTCTCAATTATTTTTTAAAAATTTTCTTGATTTTGTTATAAAGTGTTTCCTTTACTTTTAAACTTAGACTTCCTTTATTCAGAGACCTAATAGCAATTAACTTCTATTTTTCCTTAGTCTTTTCAACTTGAACTTTATCTTTAATTCTTTGAGTCCACGAAATTCAATAGTGTACAATTGAGGTGAAAGTGATATGTCTTTTTCTCCAAGGTAACTACTTGTTCTAATCCTATAGATGAATATTCAATTTGATAAACATTCCTTGAATATATACGTTTCTGGCACACATTAAGTATTATACTATTAGATGCAGCAAAGAGTTATACTCTATAATTTGCCTTATGATTATACTGAAATCTTACCCTGTAGCTACATATTTCTAAATATAATTGTTTTAAAAAATGATCAATATATAAACTGCTAAAATAATTCAATTTTAATCTACATTAGTGTATTATCAAGATATTAATAACTTAAGAAAACACAAGATTCTTTACCTTATCTTTATGAGTAAAATAAGCATATTAAAAGAGAAGAACTAGAAAGGGACCAAACTCTTCAAGTTTAAGTAGTAAGACATTTTTCTAAGCTAACATTCTAGCAAAAATGAAGGAAATTAATATCCAGAAAGATAACCTTGGTACAAAAGTCTCCCAATGTACTTTAACATAAATCTTACTTAAATATAAGATCATCCACATCAGTCAAAGTAGCACCTATGCTTTTCAATAGCAAATTGATGGAATGAATTGCAATCATTTCTTGTTTTTCTTTGTCTGATTCTTCACCTCCAGAACCCAAAGACAGACTCAAATGTAACTAAAAGAAAAATAATAATAAATAGAAGGTAAGAACAAACAAAAAAATTTACATACAGATATTTTAGATACAAACAAATGTTGTATCTTTCATTAGGGTCCTAAAGAAAGCCATTATTTGTTACTCAGTATATAATTACCACAGAATAACTCATTCTTACCCTATTCTCATATTTTGTGAAATATAAATTAGTCTGCTCCAAATTTAGAACTATAATTTATTCAAAGTGTATAAATGTGGTTGTGTTTATATGGAGGGCCCAGAATAACATTTTAAAAAATAGCATAATCATTTTAGGAAGAAAAATGTCAAATGGCACACAAGTAAGCTACCAGTCAAAATGGATAATCAATTATTTTCATCCAATTAGGTAAATAACTTATGGCAACAATTAACTATAACAATTGTTACAATTACAAGTAACAATAATAACAAGTAACAATAAGTGACCATTATGGCAACCATTAGCAAGTTGCTAAATAAGTTTTTAAAAGTGTAATAAGTGTACTGAGGTGAAGGGGCTTCCACGTGCCCCTTCACCTCAGTACTGAAACATGAGACTTTCACATTCCCATTTAGCTTATTCTACCTTGAAGGGGTTTCCATCTAAAATGGAACTAGAGGCCCTGGTCGGTTTGGCTCAGTGGATAGAGCGTTGGCCTCCGGACTGAGGGGTCCCAGGTTCGATTCCGGTCAAGGGCATGTATGTACCTTGCTTGCGGGCACATCCCCCCGTGGGGAGTGTGCAGAAGGCAGCTGATCGATGTTTCTCTCTCATCGATGCTTCTAACTCTCTATCCCTCTCCCTTCCTCTCTGTAAAAAATCAATAAAATATATTTTTTTAAAAAAGAAAGTAACTATAGTTCATAACCTTAATTATTCAACTTCATGGCACAATTCCCAGTGTGCCTAAAAACCTGAATACTCCCTAGATCAGCGATGGCAAACCTTTTGAGCTCGGCGCGTCAGCATTTTGAAAAACCCTAACTTAACTCTGGTGCCGTGTCACATATAGAAATTTTTTGATATTTGCAACCATAGTAAAACAAAGACATATTTTTGATATTTATTTTATATATTTAAATGCCATTTAATAAAGAAAAATCAACCAAAAAAATGAGTTCACGTGTCACCTCTGACACGCGTGTCATAGGTTCACCATCACTGCCTTGGATTATAAACTCCATGAAGTCACTTTATACCTCCCACAGAAACTTTGATCATGGCCATTCAGTAAATATTTCTTGAAGGTATTATTCAATCTCAGAAATAACTTATTTCCACTTAATGCAAAAGAAATTGTATATAAACTACCACATAAAACAATATCAATTTTAAACCTAACACTGGATATGTCTGATACCACCAAACTAATACGTCAATTTAAAATAATTTCATTTTATGAATCCCTCACTTAGCTGAATGGATTGGTGAATGCTACCAAAAATAATGTGCTGTGAACAGTTTTTGAAAATGTAATGGGTCATCAATATTTTAGAGTTACTTAGTTGTTAATCTGCCCCATTACACAAGTTTACAGCATTATGGTTGACAGCATTTGTGAATGTCCTGAGCAGTCACCTTCTCCTATAAAACCTACAAAGAACAACAAAAGAAGAAAAGGAAATGGGTTCATAAAGTACAAAATCAGGCAAGTGAAAGGTATCCAATTTTCTACTCCCTTAGTTACAATCAGATGTTGGAAGAGTGAAAAACACCACATCAACAGTATAATAGCAACTTCAGCGTTTTTACATTCTGGTGAGGGCACCCATTATAGTTTTCTGTTTAAGCAGTGGTAGTAGTTACAAAGTGCAACCAAAACATTAAAGGTTGGTGAGCACTTCTTTGCTTAATTAAGAAATGCTTTTGTCAGCTTCTTCCTTGAATAAAGGGGCCATTAATTCAAGACTAGAAAGCACGCTCTGGTGGTTTCTCTGTGGGAATTATGGTTATACATATGTTACAGAGAACTATCTTAATTATTTCAACTTATCAAACAAAATTTCACCAAATATTTGATGCAACAAATTAAAACCCACGATTATACACAGCTCCTTTAAAAGTTCTACAACAATTCTGCCAAATTTTCAAAATAATAATTGCAACAAACCTTAACAGGGGAAATATGGAAATGTTCAAAGAAACTAAGAACTGACATATCGGTCATTGAAGTCTCCATTAATTCTGTGTTTAGGGCATCAATATCTTGCTGGATTAACTTTGTCTGAAAAAGAAATAAATCAAGAATTTCTATTTTAATTTTCTTCTTCTACTACAGTTATTTCAAAAAAATGGCTGATTTAATTTTTCAAGTTTTATAATTTTTCCAAGAAAAAAAAATTGTTACCCGTTTTCTTTCAGCTTCAGGGTCAGTTGCTGGTGTAAACAACGCAATTATAGCTCCCAGAAAGCCCTGATCAACTTTTAAGGCCATTTCCTGAATGAGGACCATAAAATACCTGAGGAAAAACATTTTTTTAAAGGAAAAGGGTTTCTATCAAACCTAGTAATTTTCAATGTTTCAACTTTGATTTTTGTCAAAAGCCATAGTACTTATTCCTTATCTCTTAAAAAGTGTCATGTTTACAAGCTCAAAGTCTACTTTACTTAGACTGAGATTTTTTTTCCGTAACAGATTTCACTGAAGGTTATACTTAGCATTTAAAGTCCCAAATTCCCACACTTATCATGTTACAGAAGAGACAAATATGACGAGATGATATAGCATGTATTATCCTTTCTTTAGAGTCCACAGCAATTACTTTAAAGAATACAACTCACAAATACATATGTCATTTATATTTCACTAACTATTTTATATGCTAATTAGAGTAACGAAGTGGAGAAGGCATTTGAAGGAATTATTTCAACATAGAAAATTACTTGACCAAAAGTGGATTAATATATTCAGGTAGAAAATAATTTACTATTTTCAAAGTAGAGTCTCATTTTTAAATTCCTTTAGATAAATAAAGGAAAATGTACTTACTTAAACTGTAAGACTTTACTGTACTCATTAAATCTTGTGATGACACTCACATCAATGAAAGGTTTGGGTTCTACGGGGAAGAAATAAAACAAGAAAGAGGCAATCAAGCTTTATATTAGGTAAAAGTAATATTTACTTAACTTTTATAAACAGAGTATATCTCAACTTAATTTTTTTTCAGATTCAAAAACACATTTCCTTATGTAATTCCTTATTTATATAAAACAAAAAGGAAACTAAACAAGAGGATTTATTATTCCAGGTTGACAGAGGAGAATATAACCAGCTAAATAACTTTTGCCCGACACAGAGTAATATTCAACTTAATTTCTGTTTTTTTTTTGTTTTTTACCTGAATCCAAAGCAATAGATTTTGGAGGGGCCACAGGATGAAACACAACAGGGAACATTGTCCCTGGTAACTGGTTATCAACCTGAGGGGATAAAAAAGAAAAGTAACTCAGCAGGATTACAAATAATTTAAACTTTTCGTTTCAGAGACAATACTATAGAAGATGTCACAAATTTCATCATAATTAAGGATCCGTATGTATATGTGGTACTATTAGAAGTTTCATTTAAATCTAAAATTCTTATATACCTCAGCAAGGGCAAGCTTTTTTATATGAAGGAATATGTAAATATCCTCATCATTGCATTAACATTACACAGCATGTACATCATTCATGGAAATACTTGTACCTATGGATCATGTGAGATTTTAACTATGTTTAAATAAATTGTAAATGGAGACTGGATATGAAATCAAATGATAGGTAGAAAGAAGAAAAAGAATAAAAATGTCCTAAATAATATCCAGCAGTTAAAAGGAAGGGGAAAAAAAGAGAGAGGGAGAGAGGAAAGGCAAGAAGGGAACAAGCAAAGCAGCTGCCCAAACAACCTCCAATATAGCCCAGGTAGAATGACAAAAGAAAATGCTATTTGGGGATCTCATGAAAAATTCAAAGGAGTATTTAAAAACAACAATTTTAATTCAAGGAACCACTCTTGCAGACTAGCTGGTCAAGTTAAATAGTCTCAATGTGACAAGATCTTTGGACTTTGATGGTAATAATATGCTGAATCCACAGGATATTTTAGAGAAGGAGAATAAACTGACAAATGAAAAGAAAGACATTAATTACAATGTATGCTAGAATCCCCAAGACTCCCAGAGTGATTAGATACAGGCGCTCCTTCACTTACGATGGGGTTATGGGGTTACATACCGATAAATATCCTACGTCAAAAATGTATTTAATACTACCCTGCAGAGTACCGGTTGTTGCCCTCGTGATCACGTGACGGGGAGATGTGGCTTGCTGCCTCTGCCCAGCATCACCAGACTAGCATACTGCATATCACTAATGTGGGGAAATATCAGAACTCAAAATTCAAAGTACAGTTTCTACTGAATGCTTATTGCTTTCCACCATTATAAAGTCCAGAAATTGTGATTCGAACCATCGTAAGTCAGGAACAGCCTATATAGGTACTGAAGTGAGGATGACAGTGGTACCTGAAGCCAATACAATCTGGCCCTCAAACTTCTCTGGTGGGGAGACTGCTTAAATTCAATTTGAATTCCTGATAAAAAATCCCGCTTTATAGGGCACGGAACAGGGAGGCGCATTTCCATTGGAGTTTTATCAAAATTGACCTGGGGGAAAAAAAGAACATGTGTTTGTGATGAGCAGGAATTAAGTAGCACTGTGGCCCATTTTAAATACTCATTTACTTACAAATTGAAAGGGAAAAATATCTTAATTTCTGCCTCACCAAAATATCTACCTTAAGGTGAAATACTGTTGAGATGTTTGAAACAGAATCATCACTTTTATACTAAAGGTATGAGGAAAACGAAAACAACTGAGAACTTTTCAATTACATAAACTGTACTTAAAGGAAGTCATGCTTCATATTTTTTTAAAAATCTTCAATAGTCATGGATAACCCTAGATAATTTTTAAACTTTGTTTTAACAAAGTTAAACAATGAATAGTTGACAGCTTGTTTATAACTGACACGAACTGTACAGTTATTTACATTTGCACATGGCTGACATTTATGGGAGAGGGGGAAGGATGGGGAGGGTATCTGGTAGCCAATGCAAACTCAACCATCAGATAACAAAGACAGAAAGCTGTATGACTGAATCAGAACAAGCTAGAAATTGCAGTCAAGATTCTGGGGTCTTCTTGGAGCAAATTAATTTTCAGAGTCACTGGAAGAGCCTATGTACACTTTTGTGGACATCTCCCCTCCTTTGTGGACATATCATCACATTTAATGAATTTAACTGAGCAAGTTTTCCATCATTAAAATACATAATTTTGTACAAGTCTTTATTAGGCAATACATATCGGTATAATTCAATACCAATAAAAAAATATTTCAACCAATCTTAATTTCTCTATAATCTGACAACAAAACTAATTCTGTGAATCTATTTGTCTTGTAAATAGATTATTAAAATGTACTACAGCATATGATTTAATAACAGTGTATTTTAATTAAAAATAGACTGATAAAAATATATTAATAAATATTAATCATGCCAATCCTAATAAATGAGTTTATTTACTAATAAATTAGCTTCCACACACACATTTTCACTTGGATAGTAAAATTTTATTTATTAGCACCACCACCAACGATCGGCCGGCCCGCCCAGGCGTCCCATGTGGGACCCAACCCAGGGCGGAGCCCAAACCCCTGGATCAGCCCTGCCATCTGCCACCCAGGGAGCGGGCCTAAGCCAGTAGGTGGTTATCTCCCGAGGGGTCCCAGACTGTGAGAGGGCACAAGTGGGGCTGAGGGACACCTCCCCACACACCCCTCCCCCGCCAGTGCACAAATTTTTGTGCACCGGGCTTCTAGTACATATATAAAATCAAAAACAAAAAATTCTGCCATACCTCAAAATTATTGTCTAGTTTGATCCAGCCATGTTGTTTTGCTGCTTGATATTTCTTATAGGATTGTTCCAGTAACATTATGTGCTTTTGACTAAAAGGCTTCCATTTCTGTTTTGGTTTCATCTCCCAAACAACACCAGAACTAAAATAATTCATAAAGAAAATTAAATTAGGAACACATATTTCCGTTTGTGGAACTGTCATTCAACTCAAAATTACTGCAACTATCAATCTTCTATGAAAATTACATTTACACAAGAGATATTTTTGAAAACCAGAATATGCCTGTATTATAAAGTAACATAAGGAAAAGAAGCAGTGCGAAATGTTTCTCTATCACAAGTTGACATCAATCAATTAAAGAATTGGCAAACTTTTATAAGGACCAGATAGTAAATATTTTAGGCTCTGTGGCTGAGACATTAAAGTTACTATGCAGCAACTTAAATAATGAGAGAAGAAAAGAAATCTTCCACAAGTTTTTTAATTGATGAAATTCAAAACAGAAAAATAACAATTTTGTATAATTTTAAAAAACACAAGCCTATTAATAATGAGAAAAACACATTTTTATGTTTAAATTTGTGATGTATAATTAACATAAAACAAATTAGTTTCAGGTTACAACCTAATTATTCAATATTTGCATATACTGTGAAATGATCACCACAGTAAGTCATGTTTGAAAATATTTTCACCTATTTGTTCTTTGCTAACTATTCATAGAGGCTAATTCTTTAGTCCAGGGGTCCTCAAACTACAGCCCGAGGGCCACATGCAAATACAAATACTGTATTTGTTCCCATTTTGTTTTTTTACTTCAAAATAAAATATATGCAGTGTGCATAGGAATTTGTTCATAGTTTTTTTTTAAAACTATAGTCCAGCCTTCCAACAGTCTGGGGGACAGTGAACTGGCCCCCTGTTTAAAAAGTTTGAGGACCTCTGCTTAAGTCACTTCAAATTCAGCACTGCCTTCTCAAATATGTATACAACTGAGCAGTATTGGTAACACTTGTTGACTTATCAAAATAACTGGCCTTGTTTTATAATTGACTATTGATGCTCTGAATGTCCTCAATTCTTCAAACAACTGTTCTCACCACAAGACTAATGGTCCTAAGTTTATTTTCTCTGGATACATTTCTTCAGCTGTTACAATCACATTATTCAATTAACTCACCACGATAAAAGGCTTTCCATGCTTGACTTACAAATGAGTCATCAGAAACTAACTTTGGTTATAACCTCATTTTATTTTTCTAAAGAAAAGCTGCTGTCGTTATTTAGTCTTACATTTTCTCATTTTTCTGGCCATTGCTTTTCTGGGAGTTGGGTATATTGTGACACATGCTTGGTTTGGAAATGTCAATATATATTGGATACTTTTAGCACAGGGCTAAAAGAAAACATTCAGATGGCAATTAAGCATATGAAAAGATGATCAACATCATATGTAATTAGGGAATTGCAAATCAAAATAACAACGAGATGCCACTACACACCTATTAGAATAGCCAGAACCTGGAACACTGACAACATCAAATGTGGGCAAGGATGTGGAGCATCAGGAAATCTCATTCATTTTGCATTCTCAGTGGGAATGCAAAATTAGTGCCTCCACTTTAGAAGACAATTTGGCAGTTTCTTATAAAATTAAAGATACTTTAACTATATGATCCATCAATCATGCTCCTTTATATTTAACCAAATGAGTTGAAACTTAGTATCCACACAAAAATCCGGCATGTGAATGTGTATAGTAACTTTACTCATAATTGCCAAAACTTGCAAGCAACCAGGACTGTCTTTCAGTCAGTGAATGGATAAATACACTATAGTACATCCAGACATGGAATACTATTCCGTACAAAAAATAAAAGTTATCAAGCCATAAAAAATGAGTAATCTTGAAAGGACATTGTTAGGCAAAAGAAGCCTATATGAAAAGGCTATACACCATATGATTCCAATGATATGACATTCTGGAAAACTTATAGACAGTAAAAAGATTAGTGGTTTAGGGGGGGAAAGGGAGAGATGAACAGGTAGAGCACTGGTGACTTTTAGGGTAATGAAACTATTCTATGCTAGAGGTCCAGTGCACAAAATCCATGCACTCAGGGGAGGGGGGCACAGCCTGGATTGTGAGAGGGCACAGGCCAGGAGGAGGGACCCCACCAATGTACGATCAGGGCCAGGGAGGGATGTGGGAGGTTGGCCAGCCAGGGAGGAACTGTGGGAGGGCTCCAGGGCATGTCCAGCCCGTCTCGCTTAGTCCTGATCAAGCAAGCTAACCCACCAGTCAGAGCATCTGCCTCCTGGTGATCAGTACACATCATAATGACTGATCAACCAGTTGACTCTCTGCCCCTGGTGGTCAGTGCATGTCATAGCGAGCAGTTGAGTAGCCTTAGCATATCATTAACATATTATGCTTTGATTGGTTGAACGGCCAACATGTTAGGCTTTTACTATATAAGACTAGTGGCCTGGTGCATGAAATTCATGCACATAGGGGGAAAGGTCCCTCAGCTCGGCCTGCACCCTCTCCAATCTGTGACCCTGCAGGGGATTTCTGTACAGGGCCTAAACCAGCAGTTGGACATCCCTCTTGCAATCCGGGACTTCTGGCCCCTAACCGCTCACCTGCCTGCCTGCCTGATAGCCCCTAACCACTCTGCCTGCTGGCGTGATCGCCCACAACTCCCTCCCCCCCCGCCGGCCTGCTCAACCCCAACTGCCCCTCCCGAGCCAGCCTGTGCTAGCCCACAACTGGCCCCCCTGCCAACCTGATCACCCTAACTGCCCTCCCTGCCAGCCTGATCACCCCTAACCACCTCTGCCTTGGCCCCACCACCATGGCTTTGTCTAGAAGGACGTCTGGAAGGTCTCCTGGTTTAATTAGCATATTACCCTTTTATTAGTATTGATCAGTGGTTTTATTTCTCAGAATGTTATTTCACTTGTGTGATATATTAAGTATCACAAAACCTGGCATTCCAGCAATGTTAGTACTCCATTGCTACTAATGTATTTCTCCCTAAGTCACTACACATCATGTTTTACATAGAAAAATAAAA